TGCTCGTTGGACATGCCCTGGTAGGGCTGCTCAGCCAGCGTGGTGATCTCCCACAGCACCACACCGAAGGACCTGCCAGCACGCTGCCGCTCAGCCGGGGGACCCGGGGGGGGTCCCCCAAATCCCCCCGGGCTCCCTCCCACCCCAACACCTACCAGACGTCAGACTGCGCGTTGAAGATGCCGTCCTTGAGGGCCTCGGGGGACATCCAGCGGACGGGGAGCAGCCCCTTGCCCCCTTTCCGATAATAATCCGTCTCGTAGATATCCCGGGTCATGCCGAAATCTGGTGGAGGAGGAAGAGGAGGAGGAAGGCGTGAGCACCGGGGCGGGGCGGGCCAGCGACCCTGCCCACCACTGCCCACCCACCTCCGATCTTGACGGTGAAGTCCTCGGACACCATGCAGTTGCGGGCAGCCAGGTCCCGGTGCACGAACTTGTTGGCGTTGAGGTACGCCATGCCGTCAGCGATCTCCCCCGCCATCTGGATCATGTCCTTGAGCGAGGGCGGCGGCAACCCGGGGTTGTTCTGCACCGTGCACAGAGTCAGGGGACACACTGGGACACACACTCCCCCGCCAGGAACTAGGTGCAACCATGGGGCACTGCGGCACCCGGCCAGCCCCTCACCTCAGCGTCAGGCCTGAGCGAGCGCAGGTAGCTCTTCAGGTCCCCGCGCGTCATCAGCTCCATGATGACCAAGGCTGGCTGGCCCTGGGAGACGACACCAAGCAGACGGACCTGGAGGGGACAAATGGGGTGGCCCGTTAGCGGTCGGACCCCCCACCATGTCCCCTCCTTCCCCTCCGGCCGCCCACCTACCACGTGGTGGCACTTGAAGGCTTTCATGACAGAGGCCTCGTTGAGGAACTCAATGCGTTCCCGCATGGTGGCCAACTCGTTGACGGTCTTCAGGGCCACCTTGGTCTCCTCGCCCTCGGTGGCCAGCCCCAGTGCCAGCCCCTCGTACACCATCCCAAAGGAGCCCTGCCCCAGCTCCCGGATCACCGTGATCTTCTCCCGCGACACCTCCCACTCATCGGGGATGTACACTGTGGGGTGAGGGGGAACCCCCCATCACCATCACCATCCCCATCCTCATCCCCATCCCATCCCCATCTCCATCCCCATCCTCATCCCCATCCCATC